ATCTAAATCAGATTAACTCATTTTTAAATTGGAGAAATATGAATTTAATAATAATTAGTTTATAAAACTTGATTCTGAAAATAAAAATGTATCTTCAAAGGGGAAGCATAATATTTTCAAGTAATGAATTACTATAAGAACTTAGTTTATACATAATTAAGTTTATAAAATAATACAGTGTTTAAAATTCATCGACATTTGAATATTTAGAGATCAAATAGTTGAAAATAATATATAGGAGATGAAGGAAGCAAAAATAACAATACTTTATTACATAGTAATATTTGGTTTAGAATACTGAGAATTTGATAAAAAGGAAATTTTTTGTATAGGACAATTTGTATGAAAAATATATCAAACCAATATTAAAAGCAAAAGCACAAAAGCAAATGTGATGATGTTTGAAGATGAGCATGCTGAGCAATTATCACTAGCAAAACCTTAAGCATTACATTATTGTTCACAGTTGGGACATGTTTCTGCTCCTTCAGCCTTGATGCATTCTATTGTATCTGTTTGTCCACTTACTGGATCATAGGTAGTTTATTCTGTTAAAAGTCTTCTTGCTCCTGTTTAAGTTGTTGATAAAGTGGAGGTAACTTTGATAGTGACTGATCTCCAAGCAATTTCAGCCTTTAATTAGATAATTACTTGCCCTTTGACTGAGTTATTAACTGAAACTATTGTTGCTTTCTTATTCAATCCATTACCAGTATACCACACTTCAGTTCCAGTCAAATAATAGTTCATACCTGTAGTTGTAAAGACTTATTGAAGAACAAATTAGTCGTTCAAGTGCAAATCTGGTTGCGACTTATGGTTGATTTTTATCTTCTTAGATGGGAAAAGCTACAAAGGATACTATTTAGATGATAAAAAACATGGGCAAGGAGTGTTTTCATGGAATAACGGTAAAAGATATGAAGGAGAATGGGCTTTAGGAAAGTAAAATGGGAAAGGAGTAATTATAACTGAAACTGGAGAGAGGAAAGCTGGAATTTGGGAAAATGGGAGAAGAGTTAAAATAGAAGGAGAAAATGATTAAACAGCTGAAGGAGAAACCTGAATATATTAATTTTAAATTCTCATATTTGATTACTCTTTTGCATAATCTCCCGATCATCAGTAAATGATTTGAAGATTTTCTGAACGATTTATAATCTATACTATATTAATGTAAATTTCATAATTTTTAGGATATTTAGTATTTTAAAAAAATGATGTAAAAAATAATTAAATAATTAGTTTGTTTATAATGCCTCTACATAAAAAATAATCACACCATGATAAAAATGGCAAATAATCCTGCTGCTAAAATATACCCATTAGATGATGAATTATCTCCATCGACACATCCATCGCTGGAATATCCATTTGCAGCTTTTTCTTCATCGCATGTTGGGCATTTTTCTGATCCTTCAGCCTTGATGCATTCTATAGGTTCTGTTTGTCCACTTACTGAATCATAGGTAATTTATTCTGTTAAAAGTCTTCTTGCTCCTGTTTAGGTGTTGGATAAAGTGGAGGTAACTTTGATAGTGACTGATCTCCAAGCAATTTCAGCCTTTAATTAGATAATTACTTGACCTTTGACTGAATTATTAACTGAAACTATTGTTGCTTTCTTATTCAATCCATTACCAGTATACCATACTTCAGTTCCAGTCAAATAATAGTTCATACCGCTAGTTGTAACGACTTATTGGAGAACAAACTAGTCGTTCAAGTGCAAATCTGGTTGAGCAAATGCTGTGCACGCTAAGTCTGTGCACCATTTTAAGGTTGTATCAGCTTTTGCGTTGCAAGATGCACCAACAGCACATCCTGCTGTGGCTGTTTAAGTTAATGGCTTGAATGCTGTATCAACTGAAGCACCAGTTGCTTTATCAATAGTGACAGAGAATTCAAAATAGAAAGTGTATTAAACTTAATCAGTTCCTGCAGCATAATATGCAATAGCATAAAAGCCTTTGTAGATAAATTAATTAGAATTTGTTGTTTAAACTAATCTTGTTCCTAACTCCTTTCCTGGAATTGTGAATGTATAGTATCTCCATTGCTTATTGAAGTTGTTTGATGCGGTTATCGGTAAATCAGTAACTAAAGATGCATCTGAATAGGAGTTTGAAGTGAATTTCCATAACTTAAGATCAAGACATGTGGTAGCTGCTGTTTTTCCATCTTCTTAAACAAGACCGAAATATGTTGGGTCATTGAAAAGATCAACATCGGAATATCTAAGGTTCACCTTAACATCTGTGGATCCAGTAACAAATGCAACATCTCCTGTAAAAGCCAACTTTGTAGCTCCAGTTCCTGTGGATCCACTAGCAGTGGTTCCAGTTCCGGTAGATCCACTCGTAGTGGTTCCTGTTCCAGTAGATCCACTCGTAGTGGTTCCTGTTCCAGTAGTACTAAGAATATTTCCTGGAGATGCCAACTTGGCTGCTCCAGCTCCATCAGCTGTTCCAAATTTTTGTAAGTATTTATTGCAATTATCAGAGTTAAAATCGATCCTTTATCCTAAGCTATAAATAACTAAGTATGCCACAATGATTATTGTTTTCATTTTAATTAAATTAAATCTATAGTCTCATTTTAAATCATGCTTATATCCTTTATTTTTATATATTTTTAATCGATATTCTATTTGATATTCGTAATATAAATTTAGAAATCAACTTTTTTTTATCTTAAAGTCATCACTATTCAAAGAGATCCTATAATTCATTTTAAATTATTTCCTTCCATTTATGCGATTGAATTTAGATGAATAGATATTAAGTTTTACATCTTTGTTAAGATGTTTTNAAATATATCAAACCAATATTAAAAGCAAAAGCACAAAAGCAAATGTGATGATGTTTGAAGATGAGCATGCTGAGCAATTATCACTAGCAAAACCTTAAGCATTACATTATTGTTCACAGTTGGGACATGTTTCTGCTCCTTCAGCCTTGATGCATTCTATTGTATCTGTTTGTCCACTTACTGGATCATAGGTAGTTTATTCTGTTAAAAGTCTTCTTGCTCCTGTTTAAGTTGTTGATAAAGTGGAGGTAACTTTGATAGTGACTGATCTCCAAGCAATTTCAGCCTTTAATTAGATAATTACTTGCCCTTTGACTGAGTTATTAACTGAAACTATTGTTGCTTTCTTATTCAATCCATTACCAGTATACCACACTTCAGTTCCAGTCAAATAATAGTTCATACCTGTAGTTGTAAAGACTTATTGAAGAACAAATTAGTCGTTCAAGTGCAAATCTGGTTGCGACTTATGGTTGATTTTTATCTTCTTAGATGGGAAAAGCTACAAAGGATACTATTTAGATGATAAAAAACATGGGCAAGGAGTGTTTTCATGGAATAACGGTAAAAGATATGAAGGAGAATGGGCTTTAGGAAAGTAAAATGGGAAAGGAGTAATTATAACTGAAACTGGAGAGAGGAAAGCTGGAATTTGGGAAAATGGGAGAAGAGTTAAAATAGAAGGAGAAAATGATTAAACAGCTGAAGGAGAAACCTGAATATATTAATTTTAAATTCTCATATTTGATTACTCTTTTGCATAATCTCCCGATCATCAGTAAATGATTTGAAGATTTTCTGAACGATTTATAATCTATACTATATTAATGTAAATTTCATAATTTTTAGGATATTTAGTATTTTAAAAAAATGATGTAAAAAATAATTAAATAATTAGTTTGTTTATAATGCCTCTACATAAAAAATAATCACACCATGATAAAAATGGCAAATAATCCTGCTGCTAAAATATACCCATTAGATGATGAATTATCTCCATCGACACATCCATCGCTGGAATATCCATTTGCAGCTTTTTCTTCATCGCATGTTGGGCATTTTTCTGATCCTTCAGCCTTGATGCATTCTATAGGTTCTGTTTGTCCACTTACTGAATCATAGGTAATTTATTCTGTTAAAAGTCTTCTTGCTCCTGTTTAGGTGTTGGATAAAGTGGAGGTAACTTTGATAGTGACTGATCTCCAAGCAATTTCAGCCTTTAATTAGATAATTACTTGACCTTTGACTGAATTATTAACTGAAACTATTGTTGCTTTCTTATTCAATCCATTACCAGTATACCATACTTCAGTTCCAGTCAAATAATAGTTCATACCGCTAGTTGTAACGACTTATTGGAGAACAAACTAGTCGTTCAAGTGCAAATCTGGTTGAGCAAATGCTGTGCACGCTAAGTCTGTGCACCATTTTAAGGTTGTATCAGCTTTTGCGTTGCAAGATGCACCAACAGCACATCCTGCTGTGGCTGTTTAAGTTAATGGCTTGAATGCTGTATCAACTGAAGCACCAGTTGCTTTATCAATAGTGACAGAGAATTCAAAATAGAAAGTGTATTAAACTTAATCAGTTCCTGCAGCATAATATGCAATAGCATAAAAGCCTTTGTAGATAAATTAATTAGAATTTGTTGTTTAAACTAATCTTGTTCCTAACTCCTTTCCTGGAATTGTGAATGTATAGTATCTCCATTGCTTATTGAAGTTGTTTGATGCGGTTATCGGTAAATCAGTAACTAAAGATGCATCTGAATAGGAGTTTGAAGTGAATTTCCATAACTTAAGATCAAGACATGTGGTAGCTGCTGTTTTTCCATCTTCTTAAACAAGACCGA